CAGCTGCCTCTGGAAGGCACCGAGAGGTACCTTTTTCGCGCAATGGTCAAAATCAAGGTTTTGTAACGCGAGCTGTGCCACAGTGAAATGGCACTCTCGAGGTTCTCGAGGTGGATATCCTTTGGCCGCGTTGGGTAGCGAGGATTGGTGTAACCCGAGCCACGGAGGCGTGTTTTCTGACGGCCGACCGTCAGTGCACGGAGTTGCCCCTGAAATGGCACTAGCCTTGAGGTCTTTTTTTAATAAAACGGGCAAACTCTGAGACGAGATGGGATTTAGGGACATGATTGTGTCCCCGCCCTGCACGTGATCTTGGTGTGAGGGATCTTCAATCCGTGTCCCCTCACTTTGAGGTCTTTGGACGTTGCGAGGGTTTGACTTTTGAGCATTGAGGTTAATTGTATGCCACCGGGCCACCGCCGCCACCGCCTCCGCCTCCTCCACCCTCGACACCTCCGCTTTCGCCGCGCCGTCGCCTCGAGGGTGTCAAGCTGCTGTCGAGGGACAGAGGTGTCGAGGAGTGGTGTCGAGGGTGTCGAGCGTGTTGAGCGTGTCGTGTTACAGGGAGGCGCAAACCTCAAGGGTAAAAAACGCCGAAATTGAACAGGCCGCGGCGCGGGGTACATCTTGGACTGCCATGCTGGAGATTGCCTCGCTTCTGCTCGTCGCGCTGCCGGCGCCTGCTTATACGGTACTCGCTCCGCCCTGGTACAATTACGCTTAGCAGGGGAGGCAGGGCCCATCTCTCCTGCTCGGTCGGCCAGCTGCTCGACCCAGGAGTCGTGATTTCTTGTTGGTTAATAAAAATCTCTCTCGACCCAATCTCTCATGCGTCGATCTCATCCGAGAGCGCTCGAGCTCGGCGCTCGTGTCACCTTCCCGCCCGCCTTAGCGCCCACCTTCCCGCCCACCTTGAGCTTCGCCATGGACATGACATGGCTCGATGCGTTTTCCCTGGTTCGAGCGGCTCGATCCGGAAGAAAAGACCACCCGAGCGGCGGGCTGGAAGAATTCTTCTGAAACGGCGTTTTGGCCGCGAGGTCATCTCGAAGATTGATGCTGAAGATTGCCTCGCTTCTCCTCGTCGCTCTGTCGGCGTCTGCCCTGCCGGTGCGTCGCTCCGCCCAGCCGCACTTACTCACATGCAGGCTTGAAACTACACGCACCACACGAGTGCGCAGGCAGAAACCGTCGACGACATCGACCCAGCCGCTCGCGGCCTCGCCTTTGCGCCAAAGCCCTCTCCTCCCGTGCCCGACGTGGTCGACGACCCCGCCTGGCTGATCGCCACCTCCGGCTTCTGCTCGAATCTCAACGTGGTCATGAAGGAGCGCGACGTCGAGGCGAGCGAGACGGAGGGCGATACCGCGGCCCACTTCATGGCCGACATCGCCTTCAACTACTACCCGCAGACGGCGGTCAAGTTCACCGATTTCCCTCACCACCTCGCAAAGACCATTGAGGGCGACGCGGCAGAGGCGGACGCGCTGGTCTCGAGCGCATGGGATCACAAGAATATCGCGCTGCTCGAGCCGACGTCGGCGTGCGGCCCGGAGCAGGGCAATCAGGCTTGGGGCATCTCCGTCTTCAAGGTGGAGGAGCACCGGCACTGCAGTGACGGCGAGACTGCGTGGGAGGGACACCCGTGCGTGCACTACTCCGGCTACGTCTCGACGGCTACGTCCAATTTTGTCAACGTGAATGAGGGGCGGTTCGTCTGCCAGCTGTTCGTTGACTCGGATTGGCAAGATTTCGTTGACTCGATTAACGAAATCGAAGGCACGGCTGGCAACCTCGCATCAAGCTTCTCCTGAGTCGCCCCTCGAGCCGCGTCCCGTCGGCACTGTCCCTGAGTGCGTCCCGCCTTGGCGGCACGCATTCGGCGAGGACAGTCCTGCCGACGGGAACGTGTCGCGCGCCGGCGACGATTGCGGCGGTGTGTGTGTGTGTGTACGAAGCGACGATGGCACGACCACGTGGTACACTGCACTCAGTCGAACAGCTCCGCCGCGCCGTCCGCGCCTTGTTCCGCTCCTGGGATACTTAGGAATACCCGTCGCCGAATACCATACGCAATAAATAAAAAATAATTAATTACCGAATACCACACCCCCATAATTAATTAATTAATTAATTAATTAGGTGAGCACGTGGAATACCTTACGCGAGGTTAACTCATACTAATCGAGGTTACCCAAGGTTAATAATTAAGTCGAGCCACTCAGCCGCGCCGCTGCCTCGCGCCGATGTATGTATGTAGAAAGATGAACAACAGTCGGGCTCGGACTGGACACCAACGCGGTATGGGTGGACGCGGGACAGATGATGACGACACGCACGAACGACACACAGACACAAACAAGCTCACAAGACACACAGCCAGCTGGCTGCCACACACCCTGAGTTGGCGTACACATAACTCAAGGCCACATCCTCCCTGTCGCCCCCCCAGCACTCCAAGGTGCCAAGAGAACAAACAAGGGCACAACAACACAACAGACGACAGGGGAGAACACGTGAGGCTAGAGCAGGCTTGCTCGTCCTCTAGCAATTTCCGCCGACCGCGAGGCCGGACTAGACCGTGTGTGGGGTCATGTGAGGTGTCTCTGGTCACTCTCCTCAGGGGCTAGCCGCCAGCAGCTAGCCCTATCTCGCACTCACTGGCGGTGACAATTCTATGGGTGAGCGTATGCGAGTCGAGGCGCGTGAGCCGATTCTTGATCGCATGCCATTGGCATATAACTGGGCTTGGCGTGCGACCTCAGCGCGCCCGCCGTCAGCTCGACGGGGCGCGCATGTCAGCTTGAGGTTTGCCGGTAGAGCGATCCCGGTCTTGTCGAACGCGAGCCCCACGCCACGGTTGCCAGCCGTGCCTTCGCGAGGGTCGCCCTCGAGCCGCCTCCCGTCGGCACTACCCTCGAGTGCGTGTCGCTTTGGTTGGCGACACCCCGTCGCGCGTGATACCCTACCAGAAGAGAGGCTGGAACCCCTGTCGGCGCTGGGCCGGACACACGGTGTGGGAGAGAGCAGCCAAGCTAGATCCTCTTAAAAGCAAACCCACGATCAATGACGGCGCTCGCCGTCCTGCTGACGGTGCTCGGCTCCGCGGCCAACAACATTGGCAAGGTGCTGCAGAAGGAGGCCACAAAGGACCTGCCGCAGCTCTCCCTTTCAAAGGCGGTGATGCGACGGTGTGCGCTTGCGGCTCCCGTGCCGCGCCTCTGCTCGAGGCTGCGGCGAGTGCGCCCGCGCCGATCTATCTGAGGTGCGCGGCCCCTCCGTCTCCAGGTACGCCGGCTCGCGACTCTGGCGCATCGGGCTGCTGGCGGATGTCGGCGGCGCGCTCTGCCTCCTCGCGGCGCTCTCGATGGCTCCCGTCTCGCTGATTCAGCCCGTGTCGGGGTGCGGGATGGCGATCCTCGCCGTCTTCTCGCACTTTTACCTCCGCGAGGAGCTGCAGGCCAACGAGCGAGCCGGCGTCGTCGTGGCGATGGCAGGCTCCCGCCGTCCAGATGCCACTCCGAGCCGCTCAGCAGAGCCAGCGTCTGGGAGCACGCACCCACGCCGCACTGCAGTCGCTGGGAGCGTGCTCACCGACTGCGGGCAGGTTCACTCTAAGCACACTGCGCGGCAGCGTGCCCCCATCCTGCCTCAGCCCCCTCCCCGCAGGCACCGTCGGCGTCGGACTGACTGCAGAGCTGTTTGAGGACTCGCTGCCGGCGACACTGGCGTCGCTCGGGCTGCTCTGCGGGCTCGGCGGCGTCTTCGCGCTGCTCGAGGTGTGAAGAGACTCTCTTCACGCCTCCCGGCCGTGAAGCAGGTACGGCGGCGTCTTCGCGCTGCTCGAGGTGTGAAGAGACTTTCTTCACACCTTCCGGCCGTGAAGCAGGTACGGCGGCGTCTTCGCGCTGCTCGAGCTACAGATCCGACGCGCCTGCTCCGCCCTGGCACGAGACCGAGACCACCGCAACGTCGCCGCCGGCGCGGAGGAGTTGGCCGAGGCCAGCGCTGCGGCGGCGACGGCGGCGGCGGCGGCGCGGAGAGTGGAGCTCGCTGCAGGAGCGCAGGCGCGTCGCTGGGGAGATGTAGCCGAGGTATTCCCCGAGATTGAGCCGAGATATAGCCGCGGTGGAGCCGAGAACAGCAAGCGCAGTAGCCCTCTCGGCAAGAAGAGGCTACCACTAAGACTGCCAGCAATCGCGATGCCACCCAGCAGGCGGGGCTCCTCTTCGGCCTCTCCTCCGCAGCCGCGAGGACAGGCCTGCTGCTCTCTCGGCCGCTCCCTGCCGTGAGCGTGCGTCCCTTCACCCAAAGCACAACCCCGGACCCAAGACGCACGAGCACAGACAGTCGAGAAGGGAGAGACAGCGACGGCAGTCCGAAGTCAGCGCTGGGTCCGAGGAGGGCGTCCCTTCACACCCCTCTCCTGTGAAGCAGGCCTGCTGCTCTCTCAGCTGCTCGTCGCGGAGTATGGCGCACCCGCGCGCGGCCTTGCCCCGCTCGGCATCGCGGCGTCGGTCGGCTTCTCTGCGAGCGGCATCTTCGCGCAGAACCGAGGCATGAAGGAGGGGCGGGCGATTGTGGTGTGCACGTACGCCGCGATGGTGACTATCGCGACCGGCGTGCTGACCGGCTTGCTGGCCCTAGAGTCTTGCAACACAACTCCCTCGCACACGCACGATTCACACAACAGGGCGCGGACGACGGCTTCTAGAGGACACGTATTCAGCTGTATTCATCCGCATTCCGTTGTACTCTTCACTGTCTTCCTCTCCGTTGTACTCACGCGGTGCTCTGAAGACGGCGTATTCACGCCCTCGTGTCGGCGTATTCACAGCGTAGGCCCAGGAGAGGTTGTATTCACACCGTTGTATTCACACCGTTGTATTCACAACGTAGGCTTGCTAGCGCTCAACGAGCAGGTTCCGCGGCGGCACCGGCTCGGCTGGCTGCTCTCTCTGGCGCTGATCCTTGCCGGGGTTGGGTTGCTGGTGAAGAAGGACCCGAGCAGTAAGAAGCTCGGCAAGGACCACGTCTCGTACCACATAGTCTAGCTCGCGCCCTCTCTCTTCCCACGCACCTCTTCCGTCTCCCTAGGCCGGCATACCCGTGAGCGTGACGCGTAACCGTAGTATGTGAATGTGTGTCGTACGGCTTTAAAAAGTAGAGGGCACAACGATTTCCGTCTGCACTGGCAGGGCGCCAGGGGGAGAGGCGAGAGCGAGAGGAAGCAGGAACTGAAAAACGAATCGGGGTATACGGTATCGGAACTACACGAATCAGGCCTCTCGACCCGCCGACACCAGGCTGGGTGGCCACACTCCTATCCTCTCAGCGATTGGTTCCGTACACTCTTGCTCACCGCTCCCACCTGACACACGCGTTCCGACAACCCACACCTTGTACTTTAGGAGCACTAGTAGTGACTGACTACTAGTGCTCCTACAAGGAAGTCACTACTAGTGCTCCTACAAGGTGTGGGTTGTCGGAACACGTGTGTCAGGTGGGAGCGGTGAGCAAGAGTCTACGGAACCAATCGCTGAGAGGATAGGAGTCCCCACTAGTCCAACCCGCCATCTGCGTCACGCTCATGATGCCACCTCAACTCCGACAGTGAGCGACGACACAACAGTGCTCAGTGGTCAACGGGAACGGTGCGCAGCTTGATCCTGAGATGACCGCTGGCTCTTGACCCGTCCGAGCCGCTCCTCGTGTTTTTGCGGGGATATTGAATTTCCCAGCCGGTCCATCGGGGAAGGTATGCATCCAGGTCCCGCTTCTCCCGTTCATTTGGTCGGAACATCTGCTGCTATGCCTCTGTCCAACGGCGGCTGCGGCCGCCTGCGAGACCAGCAGCGCGGCCCAGACGGCTCGCATCCCTCGCACCCCTCGCACCCCTGGCGGGCGGACGCCCGACGACAAAGCGAGCGAGCGCGTCTTGCCGTCGGAAAGGGACGTCCGTTTGCAGCCAAGCGCGTGCAGACGAGGCTGGGCTCGCAGGCGGGAGTCGTCCTCATAGACGGCCAGTCGCAAGCGAGCGGAAGGCCCGCTCTCGCGCCGATGCGCAGCACAGGGCTGGTCAGCTGAGGCCCTGAGTGCCGTTGTCTGAAGGTACATGTGTTGGTTTGTCGGCCGTCCGTTGTGAAGGCGCATCAAGGCCAGATTCCACTTCGTATGTTCTCAGAACATTGTCTACATTGGCGGCATCATGCCCTGCGGCGGCCCTCCCGGCGGCGCGCCTTGCGGCGGCATCATGCCCTGCGGCCGCGGGCCTCCCGGCAGCTGCATCGGCTCGCATGCCTGGCCGCATGCCTGGCGGCATCATGCCGGGCGGCAGCGGTCTGCCTCCTGGCGGTGGCTGCATTCGGGCTCTGGGGTGAGTTGCGCAAGAGCACCACTGCTGCCGACACTGCCGCTGCTGCAGACACTGCCGCTGCTGCAGACACTGCCGCTGCTACCGACACGGAGACGCCGCGGCGGCGCGCCGCGCGCACGGCTCGCCGCGCCTTGCTCCAGCTGCTCGCGGACGATCGGCAGGCGTCAGCTGGGCGGAGAGGGGCGACACCTTCTCGGAACCTTCTGCGGTGAAGCGTCTCGCCGCCGTCTCCTTGTAGGCGCTGCGCAGCGAGGTGGCGCGGCTGCGGTTCGACAAGTGATACTCTTCGGCGGCGCACGCTGACGTTTCTTGGCGACCCACGGCGGCGGCAGCGAGCCGGACCAAGCACCTTGCCGCACATGGCGGTAGACCGGAAAAGGATGAGTTTCCGCTCCTGTGCTCGGCAAGCCTCGTAGTACGTAGAGCACAACCAATGTTCCTGCTTTTTGCCGCGGCGCGATTTTTCGCGTTACGTACTCGTGCACCTCCAAATTTTACAATTCGTGCGGAGAAAGAATTTTGCCGAGAAAGAATAAGGGCACTCGCACTCGTGCTCAAACGCTCAAGGTCACTGATGACAGTCTCGCGCTCCCACACTCACACCCCTCTCCCGTGCTCCCTCGACAGCTAGGTGTGTGTCTCGCGCAGCTGGATGCGCGCTGTCCGTCACAACCGGCGCCCGGCGAGGCTGGCGCGGCACAATCGGCGCGCTTGCACGAGAGGCCTCTGGCGTGCCTCGCCTGGGCCTTGACTCGCGTCGACAGCACCGAGCGAGTCCACTGGTTGAAGGGCTCGACCCCGAAGGACGCCTCGATGGCGGCCAGCAAGGCGATCCGGTCCTCCGGAAAGTAGCAGCGCGTCTGCTTCACGTCAAAGTCGGCGCACGCGGCGAGCAGCGCGGCGGAGGGCGCGCGCGACGGCGGGGCGTCGGACTCGGAGCACGCCGCGGGGCTGTAGTTGCGGCACCCAAGTGTCCTGGATGCGTCCAGCACGTACATGCACCCCGCGCAGAACGGCACGGCGCAGACGCGGTCGGTGGGCGCGCCAAAGGCGTAGAAAGCGAAGAGCTCAAACGCGCACCTGTCGGCAATGGCGACGCGGATGGCGGCGGCGGCGGCGTGGGCGGCGGCGGCGGCGTGGGTGGCGGCGGCGGCGTGGGCGGCGGCGGCGGCGTGGGCGGCGGAGGGGCAGGTGGCGGCGGCGTGGGCGGCGGTGGCAAGGGCGAGGTGGAGAGTGGCCGCGGCGTGGGCGGCGGAGGGGCAGGTGGGAGGCGGCGCACCACATGCGCGAGCACCAGGAGGGCCCTGCGAGGACGAGCAGCGTCTCGCACCCCGACAGGTAGATTGGCAGGCAAGGCAGCGCCTCGGAGGCGCTGCGCTGGTCGCCCGCGAGGCAGAGCCGGTCGAGCCACAGGCGGGGGGGGCGGCCGTGCCCCCGCTCAAAGTCGGCTGCCCACGCCGCCAGTGCGTCCCACTTTGGCCCCGCCGGGTCGCTCCACGCGTGCGACACAAACGCGTCGCACTGCCCGAGCGAGCACCGTTCCGCGCGCCCCTCCGAGGCGGCGGGGTGGCTGCCGTCGAGGTCGGAGGGCCGCAGCAGGTCGAAGCGGACCGAGCGGAAGCTCGCCGCCGCCATCGGGAGCAGCTCGGACGGCCGGTGGTGCCCGATGGCGGAGGCGAGGAGCGTCGCCGCCCGCTCCTCCTCTGTGGCGCCCAGCCGCGTGAGCAGCTCGACCGCGCGTGCTCTCGCGTGCGGGCCGAGCAGGACACAGGCACAGACAAGGTGCGACCCCGCGACGGCGAGCTTGCACGCGGCATCCTGAGTCTCCACCTCGCCCTTGCCGAAGAGGCACAGCCCGTGCGCCACCAGCTCAGCGCCGCGAAGTCCAAGGGCGAGCCGCATCCAGCCGATGAGGCAGTTGAGGCGCTTTGGCGGCGGGATGCGCGGCGCAGCCGCGAGGAAGGCCGTGACTACAGCGCCTGCGGCGCAGACAAGGCCGGCGAGGGCCAAGCCGGCGTGGCTGCGAAAGCCCCACGCCTTGTCCGCAAAGTGTAGCCGACGCAAAGTTGCAAGGTGGAGACCCGCGTACCACGCGCTGGCCAACCGGAGAAGGAGCGACTGGGACGATGGAAGTGCGATCAGCAGGAGGGTGTGGCCAAAGACGACGGCGACCCCACAGGCGGAGTAGTACCGCGAGCCCCAGCTCGAGCAGTTGAGCAAGACACCGGCGAGCGCTATGAGCGCCTGAGTCTGCCAGCGCACTCGCCGCGCCGAGGCAATCCGGCCTCGGAGCTGGGCGCGGACCCTCTCGCTGCTGCGTTCGGCGGCCTCGCAGCTGCGAGGGTGCCCACGTGCAGTCTGGCGGTCGGAGTAGTCCAAGGATTTCGCGTGCCCTTGTCCGCCAGACTCGCTGCTGCGCCGGCTTGCGTCGAAGTCCTGCATCGCTGTCGCGTGTCCTTGGATGAGGGCCTGATCGCTGCATTCGCTGATGGACTGGAGCTCACTGCTGCTGCGCTGGCTGTGGTGCTCCGACATCGCCTGACGTGGATGTCCAAGGTAGTGGACGTGTTCATGAACAGGATGTTGAGTATATGAGCGACCCACCTCGAGGGTTGCTCCCGACTCTGGCCTTTTCTGGGTCACGTAGCCACACCTCGCCTCCTTGGTGCGAGTGGCTGCCAGTTCGACTCTAGGGATCGAACCATTAACACAGGAGAAGAGGTCAAAGGAAAAAAACCTTAGTGCGAGCAGATCGTCATCGTAGTAGGTAGGTAGGTAGAAAGGTGAAGAACAGCCAGGCTCGGACTGGACACCAACGCGGTATGGGTGGACGCTAGACAGATGATGACGACACGCACGAGCGACACACAGACACACACAAGCTCACAAGACACACAGCCAGCTGGCTGCCACACACCCTGAGTTGGCGTACACATAACTCAAGGCCACATCCTCCCTGTCGCCCCCCCCAGCACTCCAAGGTGCCAAGAGAAACAAACAAGGGCACAACAAACAACAGACGACAAGAAGTGACATGTGAGGCTAGAGCAGCATGCTATCGTAGTGAGTGGTAGGTAGGTAGGTGGAAAGGTGAAGAACAGCCAGGCTCGGACTGGACACCAACGCGGTATGGGTGGACGCTGGACAGATGATGACGACACGCACGAGTGGGCTGCGGCCACGAAAAGAATTCAGTGCGTTTGATCAGAGCGGCAAATCACACAACGGCAATGGTGGCTTGTACTCCCGCGCGCCCCCACGCGCGCCCCGGCGCCCCAAACCGCGCTCCGCCCCTCCCCGCAACACTCACCGCGCACCGCGCCGCGCCAGATCCCCACACGCCGCACGCGCCCCGACCGCACGCCCGACCGCACGCGCTCTGACCGCTGCCGACTGACGACCTCCCCGTGTCCGCAGCGTGAGTGCATCACCCTCCACCTCGGCCAGGCCGGCATCCAGACCGGCAACGCGTGCTGGGAGCTCTTCTGCCTCGAGCACGGCATCCAGCCCGATGGCCAGATGCCGTCCGACAAGACGATCGGCGGCGGCGATGACGCGTTCAACACCTTCTTCTCCGAGACGGGCTCGGGCAAGCACGTCCCGCGCACCGTCTTCATCGACCTCGAGCCGACCGTCGTCGGCGCGTCCCGCCCCTCCCCCGCGCGCGCACCGCTACCCGCGTCGCCCTCCGATGCGCGCCCCTGCTGCAATGCGCGCGCCCCTACCATCGCGCGGCTTGAGCTGAAGCCACTCCGCCTCCTCTCCCCCAACAGACGAGGTCCGCACGGGCACGTACCGCCAGCTCTACCACCCGGAGCAGCTCATCTCGGGCAAGGAGGACGCGGCGAACAACTACGCCCGCGGCCACTGTGAACTCCCCCCCCGCGACGCCCTGCCCCCTAACCGCCCTCGCGCGCGCGCATCTGCTCTTCCACTTCCTCACCGCCCCCTTCCGGCCGCGCAGACACCGTCGGCAAGGAGATCGTCGACCTGGTCCTCGACCGCATCCGCAAGCTCGCAGACAACTGCACCGGCCTCCAGGGCTTCTTCGCCTTCAACGCCATCGGCGGCGGCACCGGCTCCGGCCTGGGCGCCCTCCTCCTCGAGCGCCTCTCGGTCGACTACGGTGCGGACACACGCCCGCGCGCTCGCAAGACCCGCCGCCCTGCCGCCCTGCCTCCGCCGCCCGCGCGCTCCCCCCCGCTCCCCCCCGTTGACCGTCGGCCGCGTCTCACGAGCCGCGAGCATTGCTCACCCGCCCCCCGTGCCCCGCGTGCCACGTCGCAGGCCGCAAGTCCAAGGTCTCCTTCACCATCTACCCGGCGCCGCAGGTCTCGACCGCCGTCGTCGAGCCGTACAACTGCGTCCTCTCGACGCACACGCTGCTCGAGCATACGGACGTCACCTTCATGGTCGACAACGAGGCGCTGTACGACATCTGCCGCCGCAACCTCGACATCGAGCGGCCGACGTGCGCCTCGCCATATGCCTCGCCATGCCTCGCCATATCTCCCCCATATCTCCCCCATATCTCCCCCATATCTCGCCATATCTCGCCATATCTCGCCATATCTCGCCATGCCTCACCATATCTCGCCATATCTCGCCATTTCTCGCCATGCCTCGCCATGCCTCGCCATACGCCTCGCCATATGCCTCGCCATGCCTCGCCATGCCTCGCCATGCCTCACCACATCTCCCCCACATCTCGCCATATCTCCCCCGCAGGTACACCAACCTCAACCGGCTCACCGCCCAGATCATCTCGTCGATGACCGCCTCGCTCCGCTTCGACGGCGCGCTCAACGTCGACCTCACCGAGTTCCAGACCAACCTGGTCCCGTACCCGCGCATCCACCTGGCGGTCGCCTCGTTTGCGCCCATCATCTCGGCCGAGAAGGCGTACCACGAGCAGCTCTCCGTCGGCGAGATCACCAACGCCGTCTTCGAGCCCGCCTCGATGCTCTGCAAGGTCGACCCGCGCCACGGCAAGTACATGGCGTGCTGCCTCATGTACCGCGGCGACGTGGTGCCAAAGGACGTCAACGCGGCGGTGGCTCGCAACTTGCCGCCCGGCCGCCGGGCTGTGAACGGCGTCTCTTCACACCTCACGCTGTGAGCAGGTCGCCACCATCAAGACGAAGCGCACCATCCAGTTCGTCGACTGGTGCCCCACTGGCTTCAAGTGCGGCAGTGAGTTGCCGCCCCCCGCCCCCAACCCAGCGCGCGCATCCCCCTCCCCGCCGAGCCGTCTACCCCTCCCCTCCCTAGCCGGAGCCGCTCTCACGTGCCGCCTCCCCCCTCCCCTCCCTCCCCGCGCAGTCAACTACCAGCCGCCCACGGCCGTGCCGGGCGGCGACCTCGCCAAGGTGATGCGCGCCGTCACGATGATGTCCAACACGACCTGCATCGCCGAGCTCTACTCGCGCATCGACCACAAGTTCGACCTCATGTACGCCAAGCGCGCCTTTGTGCACTGGTACGTCGGCGAGGGCATGGAGGAGGGCGAGTTCTCCGAGGCGCGCGAGGACATGGCCGCCCTCGAGAAGGACTACGAGGAGGTCGGCGCCGACTCGGCCGAGGGCGACGGCGAGGAGGAGGAGTACTAGAGCTGCTCCCCCCCCTCCGCTGCGCTCGGGCGCGCGCTAGCCGCAGCCCTCCGCAGCAGGAGGGCGCGCGCCCCGAGGCGGCCTAGGCGTTCGTTAGGTTGGACGCTTCAGTGAGTCACGAGGTCGCAAAATGCCACATGCAAAGGCGCGGCAGAGTAGTGTCTCATAGGAGATCTAGCGAGTAGGCGAGTAGACGGAGTCCGCTTTGTCCGAGTGGTCGAGTGCACGGAGCGGCTAACTAAGACCGGAAAGAACACACAAGTAGGGGGAAAACGGGAAACCGCTTTTTCGACCTCCTTCCTACTTTTTTTCCGGAAGGGCCGGTAGCCGCAGCGCACACACCCACATCCCGCGGAAGCCGAACGAGACCCGACTCTCCCGTGTCCCGACTCCCGTGGCCGTGCAGCGTGCTCGCTGCTCCCGTCTCTCGCTCGTCCCGCCGGGGAGTGTGCCCGATTCACCTCGAGCCCTCGCACCACTGAGAACAGGCGTGGAACCTAGCGTGGAACACAATCATCAGGCGGCCCGCGTGTCCTTGCGCATGTCACGGAACAAGTCCTGGCCCCTCTTGTACAGCTCGTCGCCCGATGATACCCTGTTGTGGGGACCCTCGCGGAAGGTGGTGGCGCGTGGCCGGCCGCGCCGATCGATGTGGTGGTGCAGGCTAGGGTCGTCCGCAACCATCAACGCGATGGCCACTGCCTTCCTTGCCTTTGATTTGCCGGCGAGGAAGCAGTTGAGGTGGTCGAAGCGGTCCCCAACAGTGATGTTGAAGGAGCCTCCAAGCGCAAACAAGTAGTTGTCGGTGTGGTCGGGGCCGCCGTTGCTGGCCGAGATGATGTGGTATCGGCTGGGTCCATCGGCACGAGGCCCGCCCCGTCGGGCAGCCCTGCGAGCGCATGGGCGGCCGGCGCGAGCGGAGAACGACGGCCGAGATCGGCGCTGGGTTGGTATGAAAAGACGTGGCGCCAGAGGGGGGGGGGCGAATAAGATACATCATATCGGGGATTGAACTGAGGGATAGGGGCGGGGATCCTCCCTCTTCCCGCCGTCGTGCGTCGATGCTGGGGTTCAACCAATCCGGAGAGGTCCTTACCATTCCTCCATACACACTACCCGGCTTCATCGGCGGGCGTCTGGGAGTGTGTCGTCAACTGGCCGGTGGTCTTTCAGTGTGGTGGGTGGGTTTCGTGACCGTTCATCGTCGATGCCGCCTGACTTACCTGTTCCCCGCTGGCGCGACCCCGCACCGGCCAGCGGAGCCATTGCCCGCTCAGTCACCACCCCCGCCGGCGCGGGCGACGCGATCCGATCGGCGGCGCCACCGACGGGGCCGCCGGCACGGGGTGGACTCTCCGTCGTTGCCGGTCGGGGTGTTGGTCGGGACATGGGCGGCGCGACCACTGCACCGCTCCAAAGGCCAGAGACCAGGTCGGTGTGCAGGTGGTCGCGCCGCCCCGCCCTGCGTCGCCCGCCGGGCCGCGCCGCGCCGCCGCCTCGCGTCGCCATGTACCGTGCCCAGCACCACGCCCCACACCTATTTCGGAGTGAGGGCCGTAGCCCCAAGTGACCCACCTCGCACGCTCTGGCCTGTCTGGTCTTAGAGCGTTATGTTGAGAGTGTAGACTCGAGTCGCCCCCTTCGTCAGTCCTGCACGACGCTTCCGCTTGGAGAGTACGGAATACAAGGGGGGTGGCGAATACGGGGGTGGCGAATACGTCAGAAGTACGTACGAAAAACAAGGGAGGATGGCGAATACGTCAGAAGTATGTGGAACGTAAGGGCGCGGTGGCAGGCGCGGCGGCAGGCAGGGGAGTGGTTAGGCACCCGGGCGGGGAACCACCATCCGAGACGACCCGAGACCACCCGAGATTACCGGAGATTACCGAGACGATTCGAGATCTCCGAGATTACCCGAGATCACCCAAGGCAGCTCGCGGCGGGCGGGGTGACAACTCCCGCACCCGGGCCGGAACCATGCCAGTCGCCGGTCTGCCACTGCTGCCGCTCCTGCTCGCGCGGGCGCGCCCCTCGCATGCGCAGGACGCGTCATCTCCGCTCGAGCTGCGCTCCTCCGCGCGCGCCGCCGTGCGCACCTATGCCGCCCTCATCGGCACAGCGACCGGGCGTGAGCCGTTCGAGAGCAGGTCGAGGGCGGATGCTGACAGGTACGCTGCAACCCTGTACAAGCATAGCCTCAAGAAATTGACGTACCCGTTGGAAAACTTGCTGACGCTCTTCGAGGCACGAGATGTGCTCGGCTTGTCTGCCGCCGAGGCGCAAAATGTGCTCGGTGCTGCGTGCCGCACCGCCGATTTGCTCCTCGACCTGCGCGCCGACAAGCTGGCCACGCGCGCGGCGAACGCATCTCGCGCCGAAGAGCTCGCAGCGTGGCCGGAGCAGCAGAGCATGCGCTGCTGGCCTGTGTACTTATACGACAAGACATCATTCGAGGAGGGCAGCAAGAAGAAGGATTGCGTCGACCTCCTGCACACTCCGGCGGCGCAACGCAACTTTGCGAGCCCGCAAAGTTGCACGAAGAATTGCGACTATAACTCGCACCAGATCGTCGAATACTACACCGGCGGACACTTGATGTACGCGCTCGCGGCGCTCGGCGACAACCTCGCCAAGCTGGGTCGCGCCTCCGACGCGGCGCGCTACATCACCGCGGTGTCCGAGTGCGTGTACGACCGCCTCTTCTCGCTGCACCCGCCCTTTGATGCGCAGCAGCGCGTGGTCGACGCGGCCGTCGAGGACGCCGAGTGGAGCTGGCGGTCGTATATGCTCACGTGCGACCCGTGCACGAACACGCCGCAGGCGTTCAACCACGCGGGCTTCCTGGCCATCGCAGTCGACAGGCTCGCGCGCGCCATCGAGGCCAACGGCGGTGCCAGCCACGAGCTTCCCGGCGGGCTCAAGCTCGTGGAGCGCCTCCGGGCGGTGGCCTCGGCGTTTGTCGCGCACTGGCAGGAGAGCGCCACCGCCGTCGAGCTGGACGACGGCGCGACGGTGCTCCGATGGAAGTATCGCGACTACTGCCTCCCGGACATGCTACCTGACCGGCCAGAGGACATAAACCACGCCAGCTACGACGTTCACCAGCTAGGGCTGCTCTTCCACCGTGGCGACAACCCGCACGGCCTCACGCTGGAGTACATGCAGGCGCTGATGAACACGTTCGTCCGCGTGTACGTTCTGAACCGAAGCGCCACCGACTTTGACCGGTTTGCGTGCGACCAGAGCGGCACCACCGTCGACGAGAAGGGGTGCTCGAGTGGTCGAGCCAAGGACGAGCGGGTGCTCCACGCCGCCAACTGGCTCGAGCTGCCAAACGCTGTCCTCGTCGGAAGCAGCGCCAGCAGTGCTGCCATCCGCGCGTCGATGGCGCCGCTGTGCGCGGCTATGGTGACCGATTTGCTACCCGCGCTCTCGCCGTTGCTCTCGCCAATTCTGCCGCCTTCCGGCGAAGCCACGTCCCATCGCCTCAAACTCGTCGATCATTTCGTCGAGCTACTCAGTCAGTCAGACGGGCTGTTCCAGCAAGGGCTCTTCGTGGAACCCTCTCAGTTCCAGATCGTCTTGAACCTCGCGCGCTTGGACGACGCGTGCTTTGCCGACGACGAGGGAGCGTTCGACGACGACGCTTCCCCGCCTCCTCCATCACCACCGCCTCCCTCACCGCCTCCAACTCGGCCTCCCTGCCCACAGCCCACGACGCTCGCTGGCGGCCTCGCAGCAGCAGCCCAGCTGCTCTCCGCGCTGCTTGCTGTGGGGATGTGCCTGTCGCTGCCGTGCCTTTCACGGCGTTTGCGCGGCAGGCACGCGCCAGCTCGACTGCCTGCGGGCGACGTGCCGGACGACGCGATCCCCATGCAGGCCGCGCCATCATGCGGCTGCAGAGTATTTTTCTAACCTTTGGATGCCGTGGGGCTCCTGCCGTCTAGACGTGGAGACGCGAGGGTCGCCCCCCCCTTGCCCCACCACCTCGTGTGTGTGGAGAAGTTTACCTTACCTTACATGCAGAGAGAGAGAGCCTCTCAGAGCCCTCTCTCTTTTCTCCCAGTAAGCTAAAAGTACACATACATGCAAAGGCTGTTCTCGACGGTGGTGGTCCCGCCCGCTCCCGCGCCCGCCCCTCCTCGCTGCCGCCACGTCTCGCTTGCCTGCGAGGCACACACAACAAATTCGCTCTTTCCTGCGACGCACAAGGACTTCGCTCCTGGCTGCGAGGCACACAGTAACGCGAGCGGACCGCGATTAGGTTGCCCGAAGCATGCCAACGCCCGCAAGCCTGCACGCTCTCACCAGCACCAAGATCGACGGCACGGCGCTGCCTCTCTCCGCGCTCTCCGGCAAGGCTGCAGTCGTAGTCAACGTCGCCAGCCGATGAGGCGCGACGAAGCGGTCGTACGAGCGGCTGGCAGCGTGGTGAGCCTGCGCCAAGAGGCCACACACCTCGGTTGTAGCTCTGGCGCGGCCTCCACGCGCGCGTAGTGCGGCCAGGAATGGTGTCGGGAAAAGGGCGCCCCAGCCGGGGGCGGGAGGGCCGTGGCGGGCGGGGCTGGAGGGAGGCGCGCCACTCCCAGGCAACCAGGCAGCGCCGCGAGGGTGCGCTCCTGACACCGCCACGACACGTCGATGACACCGCCACGACACCGCCACGGCACCGCCACGGCACCGCCACGGCACCGCCACGGCACCGCCACGGCACCGCCACGGCACCGCCACGACAGGCACGGGCAGCACGGCTCGGCCCTCGAGATCCTCCTCTACCCGTCGGACGAGTTCGGCCGGCAGGAGCGAGATATGAATTAAGAACTCATAGAATGAGATTTAATGGTATGATCTCCCGAAGGGGGAGGGAGCAAGTCTCGGCGGACCTCGGCTGACCTCGGCTGAGCCGGCGTCCCAGACCGGGGGAGGCGTGTGCGGCCATTCACGCGCCGAGCTGTGAAGACAGGAGCTGCCTACCGCCCAGATCCCCGCCTTTGTCGCAAAGTTCGGCCTCCGTCCCCAGATGCGGAACAGAGGCTAGAGTCGCACCAACAACGTGTATGACTCGCCGCCCTTGCGCTCGCGCGAGGGTGTGCGCACACGCGCTGCACAGTCCAGACCTACACCCGCAGTCCCCCGCTAAGCGTTCGGCCGGCGCCCGTAGCAGCGCCACTGCACGGCGGGGCCTCGTAACCCACATCGATGTAGAGAAAGAAACCACTGTGCGCCGTACCACACGCCATAAAGAAACCACTGTGGCACAGTACCACGCGACGTGCACACCATGAGACATGGCTGGAAGAGCTTCGCTCTAACGGCGTGCACCCCCTTAGGCCTGCCGACGGACGGCGGCGGCTGCACCCTCATGGCCAAGGTGGAGGTCAACGGTGGGCGGGAGGACCCGGTCTGGGCCTTCCTCAAGGCTGGTGGGAAGGACGTGTCTTGGAACTTTGCCGCCTTCTTCGTCGTCGGCAAGGATGGACAGGTGTGGCCGAGACACAGCCGAGATCTAGCTGAGATACAGCCGAGATACAGCCGAGACAACACAGCCGAGACACAGCCGGGATACAGCCGCGGCCGGCCGAGATGCAGCCGAGATACAGCCGCGATGATTGGCCTTCTTCTCTGCCTGTGAGTCGGTGGTGTCGCCGTGATCTCTGCCTGTGAACAGGTGGTCGGCCGGTTTAGCTCGCGGGAGCTGGACGCGTGCGGCGAAGCGCTGGCGGTGGCGGTGGCCGCGTAGGCCGTACAGGGCCGTACAAGCCTCGTGGCCTCGTCCTCTCTCTTCCCTCGCTCTCCTACCCCTCTTCTCTCGCGTCGCCGTTCTTCTTCACTCTGTTCCGCGGGCGCTGCGAAGGATGCCGGGCCACGCAAAGGGGCGAGTTGTTTCGCCCCTGTGGCCGCGGCGGAGTGGCAGCCGCCCGCGCGAGGCGGTGTTGGAGAGATGAGTGCGTGTGTCTCTTAGCACAGAGGAGCGGAAAAGAATTTCAGCGGCCATTTTTGGGCCAAGAAAATAAAGATACCGAGGGCCCCACTCTTTCCTTCGCATAGAGCGGCCACTCTTCGGATCGCTGGGTCGAGCGACCCGGGGGATGCCCCGCGCGCCTGACCCCCAGGCGCAGTGAGTCATTCGGAGTCATTCGATGGCCAGAGTGCGATTGTGTGTGTGCGGGAGCTGGTTTGTCGGGAGGGAGGGGCAGGCTGCTCACCCACGTGCACCGGGCCAGTGCTTGCACTTTGAATGCCGTGGGGCTCCTGCCCGGTGTCCGGGTGTGGAGATGCGAGGGTCGCCCCCCCTTGCCCCACCACTTTGTGTGTGTGGAGAAATTTACCTTACCTGACCTTACCTTACCCCAGGCGCGAAAACGAATCTGCGAGGCGTGGCCGCTCATGCGGCCCGATGGGGAGGAGCGGGGCAGACTCTAGGGCAGACTACGGGGATCGGCTTCTTACACAGCCCTTCCCTGCAGCGAGCCCCCCTCCAACCCACCCGCGCTAGGTCCCGGGGGCAGCCCGGGGGACGCAGGGGTCAGCCCCGCGCGACCTCGGGAACTAGCCGGGGCAGTCGGAGAAGGGGCAACTCCGTGCACTGACGGTCGGCCGTCAGAAAACACGCCTCCGTGGCTCGGGTTACACCAATCCTCGCTACCCAACGCGGCCAAAGGATATCCACCTCGAGAACCTCGAGAGATCCAAAAGAAAGAAAGAAAACGGACACGCCAAACGAGGGATGGGACGAGGACAAGGTCCCCACCTCGAGAACCTCGAAGTCGCGAATTTGTTTTTTTGTGTGCTGTACTAGGAGAGGCTCGCACGCTCGCGGTGCTCTCGGCGGCCGACAGTCATGCTCGCTATCGCCTTCGCCACGGTCGCCACGGGTGCTAGTCGCACCCGATTGCCGCTCGCCAGCGGCCCTTCAGACGTCGTGCGGCAGGTGGTCGTGAGCGGAGGAGTCGTCGGGACGGGCTCGCTCCTCTTCAACCTGGCGGCCGGCCGGCCCGCCGCACTTCGCAGAGCGCGCCGCTGGGCCGCCGTGAGTGCTGGGTTCTCGGGTGGGCGAGCGACGTGTCAGTGGGTGCACAAAACAGACGATGTGTTCGCCCGGCTTGCCGGTGCGTGCTGCGCCGGGGCGCTCGGCGCACCCTCGCTTCCGCAGGTGCCGGTGCGGGTGCTCTCCTTTGCGGCGCTCACCCTCCTGATTGAGCGGCTCGAGCCCCTCGCGGAGGGCCAGCTGCGGTCCATACAGCTCTCGACGCCGGGCATCGAGGAGCGGCGCCGCCCTTGGCGCTACGTCGGCAATACGCCGCAGGCGGCGGGAGCGGCGCGAAACGTGTTTGGGGAGAGAGTGGGTGAGGGCGTGCGGCCCGGCTCGCGCCTCGAGCGGTGGATCGAGTCCCTCAATCGGGAGTTGGGCCATGTTCAGTAAACGTCTCGGGGTAGCTTGCACGCAATCAGTGTCACTGGCTCGTGACCAAACCCAAATACGCGTCACAGTTACACGACGACGCGACTTACCTCGAAGCCTGCGGGTTGCGCTGCAGCTCCTCGACGCACCACCTCAGCACGCCGTCCACTCCGTCGCCGCTCCGGCCGCTCGTCCAATGGATGGAGATCCGCCTCCCGCGAGATGTCTCCTGCATACCATCGAGGCGCAGGAGGTGCCGCACGATGCCTTCGGGCAGCGCGTCTAGTCGGTCTCGCTGGTTCAGGACGAGGAGGAGCGGCCGCTTGTTAGACGGGTCCTCTGAAGAGAGGAGCCGTAGCAGTGCCACCGACGCGGCGCCGACTGCGCAAGCACTGGAGGTGTCCACCACGAAGAGGAGACCGCGGCGGCAGTGGCCCAGGAACCCCTCCCACAGCGGCTCCATTGCGCCCCCGACCTCCAGCAGGGTGAGAGAGGGGCGCGACAGAGTGAGTAGCTCGGTACCTACGGTTGGCTGCGGCGGCGCCGCTGTCGTCGACGTAGCTCGCTGCCGCGCTCCCAGCGCGTGCAGTCTGCGAACGAGAGTCGTCTTGCCCGCACCGACCGGGCCGACGATGAGGAAGTCGTGTGAGTGCCGGCTCATGTGCATACACAATGAGAGAGTACGTACAATGTAGTGTGGCGCCAAAGATCGGTTACAAAGTGAGGCTAGGCCGCTCGGGTGTGAAGCTTTCGAAAAGGGTCCTGCAATCTTGCGTACTTTTAGCTGAGCTCACAAATTCCAAGGTTGGATTGCTGTTAGGTATCTAGACCTTGACTGAACGCGACAAATTACGAAACGCAGCGCCGAGCCGCCGCGCCCGAGCCACGAGCACGTGCAGACTCCGGCATTTTGCCTGCTTGAAACACACACATGGCACTGCGCGTTCTCGCCCTCATTCTCCTCGTGCTCGCCGCGCCTATCCAAGCGTGCACGGGCAGCCCAGATTGCCGATCTCCTGACGGGCCGAGTCAGCAGTGCAGTGATGATGCCGGACCTCCCTGGGTCGACGACGAGGAGCACTTTGGCTCGAAGCGATACCACGAAGGCACGCCGGCGACGCCCGTACTGGCCAGCGGCGAATGTCCCGACCCGCTCGCCACGTCTTGCGCCACCAAGGGCATCAAGTCGGCGCATCTTGACGGGCCAATTGACTGTGGCGGCAGCGGCTGGTTCTGCCGAATCCTGCCTCAAGAAGGATGGGTGCCCGAGGGCGGCTTCCAAGACTCAAACTTTGCGCACTGCTCCACACCTAATGCGGACGAGAAGGACACCGACGGCCACTGCCACGGCTCGGACGATGACAGCACGTACGGCTGGTGGGCGCGTGATCACTGGTTTAGAGGTTACGCAGGCACGCTGCACTGCTGCTGCGGGTGAGCGGCAGCCCTCTAGCCTTCGCCGTCGTTGCATAGGCACGTCGTTGTATAGGCCTCACCGCACACACTCTAAGAGGCACTCATATGGCTCCCGTGCGCCCAGGTGGGGTGAGCCAATGCACGGCGTCGTCAATCGCTGTGACTACCGGAAGTTCGTCACCAGGGTTGAGGTGGACACCTGCCGCGACGCAAACGAAGAGCACAACGTCGATTTTGGCCCCACTTGCGAGGCCCACGCACTCAAGGCCGACCCGCTCGACGCCACCCCGTCACAGTGCTGGACAGTGACGCACTTTGCGGATCCAGGTTCCGTTCCGGGATCAGCGCCCCCATACTCTGAGCCCCCCTCTGCGCGAGGGCGGCCTCCACGCCCCGCACCGCCACCGCCGCCGGCGTCGACGTTGTCCCCGCCTCCACCATCACCGTCGCCACCGCCATCGCTAGCGCGGCTCCCGCCCCCGCCGTCGCCGTCTCCGCCACCTCCCGACACTTCGTACACGATGATTGCCGACGGCAAGGATTGCTGCCGCTACAACGGCGATCCAGCAGAAGGCCTCAACACTCAAGGACAAGTCTGTGGAGGCGTGCGCTGGCCGCTGTGCCCTGGCCTACAGCTGGCACAGGGTCTCCTCACACCGGCCCGCCAAGCGCTGCGCGTGAGCAGGTCCCCACCAAGGCATTCAGCAAGGCCTTTGCGACGGCGAACAGCGGCCTTGAACAGCTGACGGAGCTCGCCAACAAGTACGATGAGGAGCACAAGCTGAAGGAGAAGGTGGTCCCCTCACAGCTGCTTGCGTCCCTCGCGGCGGCGGCCCAACCCCGCCACTGCCCTCATGGCCCTTTCCTCAACGGCCAAGGTGCTTGCCACGATCGAGGGCCCACGCGAGAAGGCGATGGCGGCGCTGGCCGAGGCGTCGGCGCACGCCTCCTCGGTCTCGGCTGCGGCCACTGCAGCGCTACAGGGCGTGCGCGACGGCATTCATGCGCGCTCTAGCGGCATTGCAGCAAACAGCGCCTCGTTCATCTTCTCAACGGTTCGCGCCTTGGGAGACAGCCCTTTGGTGGCGCGCCTAGGAGACTGAGAGGAGGCTCTTCTCTGAGCAGGCCGCCAAGGTGGACGACAAGTACCACATCGCAGACAAGGCGGGCGATGGCCTCTTCGCTCGCGGGAGCAAGGGTTCGTTGACGTCTCGCCCCGGCTCTCTTGCGCGCGTAGGTGAGTGAGACGGCGGGGCTGCTGACTGGCAAGGTATCCCTGTTACCCACGGCGGGGATTTCGTGTGTGGTGTCAGCTCTCACTGTGCGGCCCATGATCGCAGGCCGAGGAGTACGGCCTCGCGGAGAAGACCTCAAAGCTGGTCGAGAAGGCCCATGCTCGCCAGCTGCTTCACCACAGTGCACGTCTGCACTTGCTCTCTTAGCTCACCGCGCGCCGTTGTCGCGCCTCCCCAGGTGGAGACTCTCGACAAGGAGTATCTCAACGGCAAGGTGGCGCCCATTGCGCACGCAGCATACGAAGCTGCCACGTCGATGCTAACCACCGGGTCGGAGTATATCAAAGCGGGCCTGGAGGAGGCGCGCGGTGGCGAGTCCGCGCCTGAGGCTGCGCCGGACGACGAGGCGACAACGACGACGAGCGCGTGAAGGCCCCCGCGGGGGAAGGAGATGTGATGGAGCTTTCACGTGCGATGCTGTTGTGGGTATGGGTGGGGGGGGGGAGGGTGGTTTGGGGGGGGGGGGGGGGGGGCATTTTTTGGGGGCCGGGCGCCCGGGGGCGCCGCGCACTGACCCACCTGCTGCACGGGGCGCGCAGCTGCAGGGGGGGCGCATGCGAGGATTTTCACACAGGAGCCGTCTCGCGAGTCGCCGCGACGCCCGTGCACAGGAGCCGTATCTCTCCCCCGGTCACACACGAAAGAATTTTGACGTCGCTCGTGCGGAGGCAGCTGCAGCACGCGGTGTAGGTAGGTAGAAAGGTGAAGAACAGAGCCAGGCTAGGTGTGAGGAGGTGCTAGCTGGTGGGTGATGGCGACGCGTGCTCAGTGCTGCGCCTGGGGGGGGGGGCGACCCTCACGAGACACGACTCCAGTCTCGCGGACCCCCGAGCGAGGACGTCTATCGTCTAGACACTAGAGACAACATATGAACCTAAGACCCGGGAGAGGCCGGAGAGAAGCTCAGCGACGATGGCATGGAGGATGAGGCTTGAGGGACCCTAGACGTGTAACGATAAGACTGGGACGAAAAGCGGAGGGAGGATAAAAGTAAAGAACAAGGGATCGAGAAGCCACATAGGGGCAGGCGACAGATACGATGACGATGAAGGCACGATGACGACGAAGGCGAGAGGGTGACCCGGCGGGGCACGAGGGAGCGACGGAGACGCTATCGACTGACGCGAACTCCCCGAACATGGGCGTGCACCGACGACTCAATGGCTCTTCACGGCCGTGGGATCTTCCACCCATAGTTTCCTCCTCGCCATCCGTTCTTTCCGTACCCAAATTGCTTCATGAGCAAGATGTTGTGGTCGTTGTCGAGGTTCCATAGCGCCCACGCGGCCTGATACTTCTGCCCGTCCGTGCCGCCGCGAGCCAACGCCACGAGAGGCGCGATGCCTCCCGCCCTCGCGATCGCCACCTTGTTGTCGGCGTTGATAGCGAGGTTCCTCAGCGCCACCGCGGCCGCGTACTTTTGCCCGTCCGTGCCCTCGCGAGCCAGCGCCACCAGCGGCGCGATGCCGCCCGCCCTCGCGATCGCCACCCTGTTGTCGGCGTTGTTGTGAGTGAGGCCCCACAGCGTCCCCGCGGCCTGCTCCTTCTGCCCGTCCGTGCCGTCGCGAGCCAGCGCCACCAGAGGCGCGATGCCGCCCGCCTGTGCAATCGCCACCTTGTTGTCGTCGTTGAGAGCGAGGTTCCGCAGCGCCTCCGCGGCACACTCCTTCTGCCTGTCCGTGCCGCTGCGAGCCAGCGCCACCAGCGGCGCGATGCCGCCCGCCTTCGCAATCGCCACCTGGTTGTCGGCGTTGTTGCCAGCGAGGATCGCCAGCGCCTCCGCGGCCCACTCCTTTTGCCCGTCCGTGCCCTCGCGAGCCAGCGCCACCAGCGGCGCGATGCCGCCCGCCCTCGCGATCGCCACCTGGTTGTCGGCGTTGTTGTCAGCGAGGCTCACCAGCGCCACCGCGGCCCGCTCCTTCTGCCCGTCCGAGCCGCTGCGAGCCAGCGCCACCAGCGGCGCGATGCCGCCCGCCCTCGCGATCGCCACCTGGTTGTCGGCGTTGTTGTCAGCGAGGCTCACCAGCGCCACCGCGGCCCGCTCCTTCTGCCCGTCCGAGCCGCTGCGAGCCAGCGCCACCAGCGGCGCGATGCCGCCCGCCCTCGCGATCGCCACCTGGTTGTCGGCGTTGTTGTCAGCGAGGCTCACCAGCGCCACCGCGGCCACCTCCTTCTGCACGTCCGTCCCGTCGCGAGCCAGCGCCACCAGCGGCGCGATGCCGCCCGCTCTCGCGATCGCCACCTGGTTGTCGGCGTTGTTGCCAGCGAGGATCGCCAGCGCCTCCGCGGCCTGCTCCTTCTGCCCGTCCGTGCCGTCGCGAGCCAGCGCCACCAGAGGCGCGATGCCGCCCGCCTGTGCAATCGCCACCTTGTTGTCGTCGTTGAGAGCGAGGTTCCGCAGCGCCCCCGCGGCACACTCCTTCTGCCTGTCCGTGCCGCTGCGAGCCAGCGCCACCAGCGGCGCGATGCCGCCCGCCTTCGCAATCGCCACCTTGTTGTCGGCGTTGTCAGCGAGGCCCCACAGCGCCGCCGCGGCCTGCTCCTTCTGCCCGTCCGTGCCGCCGCGAGCCAGCGCCACCAGTGGCGCGATGCCACCCGCCTTCGCGATCGCCACGTCGCTGTCGGCGTTGAGAGCGAGTTTCGCCAGCGCCGCCGCGGCCTGCTCCGTTTGCTTGTCCCCTCCGCCGCTCAGCTGCAGCACCAGTTCCGGCACGTCGGACAGGCTCAGGCTGTCCTCTGCCAACGCCGCCTCTGCCCGCTTCATCATTGCCGGGACGACACTACTCGAGATCGCCCGCGCGTGCTCCTCCTTCGCCAAGCGCGCCGCCGCCACCGCGCTCGCCGCCTGCCGCACCGCCACCTTCAGCCGGTTCTTCTCGCCGGCCTTGGCGTCGTTCTCCGCCTCCCACGCGGCCAGCTCCGCCTGCGCGCGAGCAGCTACCGCCTCGCTCGCCGCAAGTTCATCCTCTAGCGACCGCGAGATGTCCCCAAACGCGCCCTGCACCGTCGCGTCGAGCTCCTTGATTTTCGGCAGCTGCCCGTCCTTGTCGCCCTGGTTGGTCACGGTGACGTCGGGCTTGGAGAGGAAGGCGTGCGCCTGGTCCGGCGTCTTCGTCGCCCAGCTCTGGATGAGCATCTTCTCGTGCAGCTCGGATTGCTCGGTCGCGTTCTGGATGCAAACAATGTGGTGCCGCTCGTTCTTGGTGCCCACCGCCGACTTCAGGCCGGAGGGGGTGGCGTACTGCATGGACAGCCACGACTCAAACTGAGTCCAGAAGCGGGAGACGTACGACAGGTCGAGGAGGATCAGGACGGTGGTGCCGAGGTAAAGCCTGTTCACCTCCTTGAGCATCCTCTTGAAGGCGGTCGCGTCCTCCGCGCTGCGGGAGCCCTTGGGGATGTCCTGCGGCATGCACGCCGAGTCAATCCAGACGTGCTCAATCTTCTTGCCGGCGGGCGAGTTGAGGAAGCCCTTGAGCGCCTTGAGCTGCTCGCCGTCGGGGTCCGGGTCGTCCGGCTGCATCCAGCGGTGCGAGACCGCCAACGTCGTCTCAATGTGGGTGCCCTTCACCACGTTGGCGTAGTCGAGCGCCACTTCGACGAGCGGCTCGTCAGTGGTGAACTTGTCGCGGAGGTCCTGGAAGAATGGCAGGCTCTTCCCCGGGAACTGGCGCACAAAGTCAGCGCTCAGCATAAAGAAGGTGCATGCGCGGCAGCCGCCATCGTCGTCAGCCATGGAGTCAGCCATGCTCAATTGAGCACACTTGACGCGAGTCGCCATCGTATCCCGCCTCCTTTGCCGCACACCTTGCTTGGGTTTATTGTGTTTTTGGGGGTGCGGGACCCGAAGCTTCTGCCAGTCCGTGCCACCGCGAGCCAGCGCCACCAGCGGCGCGATGCCGCCCGCCCTCGCGTGGATCGCCACCTTGTTGTCGGCGTTGTCAGCCGTCAGCGCCAGTCAGTGTCAGCGTGCAGGGAGGTCTCCCCAGCGGCAGCGCCACGTCTGAACACGCTGAAGACGGAGAGCCACACACCCTGAGTTGGCGTACACATAACTCAAGGCCACATCCTCCCTGTCGCCCCCCCCAGCACTCCAAGGTGCCAAGAGAACAAACAAGGGCACAACAAACAACAGACGACAGGAAGTAACGTGCTAGGCTAGAGCAGACCGCTCCGCCTCTAGCAATCTCGCCGTCCGGCGAAGCACGGACGAGACCGTGTGTGTGCTAGCGGCCTACTACTAGCCCTAACTCGCACTCATGGGAGATGTCAGTTCATTGTATGAGCGTATGCGAGCAGAGGCGCAGGGCAGAAGACGGTGAGGCGGAGCAGACGCGCAGGGCGAGACGAGGGAGGGAGCAGGATGTTGCGGAGATCAGCAGGAGGATGTACGACGAGATTAGGAGCAGCAGGGACCCGAGGGACCATGTGGAAGACGGCTAGTGGGTAGTGCGCTAGTCCCCCATCGGGAGGACGACCCCGGCTAGTCGCCGACCACAAAGAACCCTGCACAAAGACCGCAGGGCGGGGACCTGTTCCTTTTTACCCATCTCCTAGTAGAGGTGTCCGTTTTATTTATTTATTTACATCTAAGTGGTCTACACACAACCTGGTACCGTGACGCGTTCCCCCGCGATCTCCAGCCCCCCCCCCCCCCTCGGGCCCATCGTACACACCCTCCTGCACCCCACCTATCAGTCTTCCCGCGCGGAGCGCCATGCACTCCTTCTACGCCGCCTCAGATGCCCATGTTCAGCCACCACAGAGCCGACACCTCGCCGCTGCCGCCGCCGCTGCTGCGGGGAGGGGCAGTGTTCGTAGGCGGAGCGGCGCCAGCCTTCTTAGCGTCGCGCGCCGCGGCCTTCGCGTCGCGCGCCGCGGCCGCGTCTTCGCGCGCCTGCTGCTTCGCCTGTAGGTACTCTGTCGCCGATGCCTTGCTCCCCGCTGTGCTCTGCCGTTGTGACGCGGCCGAAGCGCGCGACGCGGCCGAAGCGCGCGACGCGGCCGAAGCGCGAGAGGGGGGTGGCCGCGCTGTCGCAGACGGTCGTGCCGGCGCCGCCGGCCGCGGCGCGGCCGAGCGTGGCTGCGGCGCGGCCGGGCGTGGCTGCGGCGGTGCATACTGCGGCGCAGCGGGTCCGGGCGGCGGAGCGTTCACCATCAGCTGGCTTCCGGGGCCCTGGCCGGGCGGAACGGTGATTTGGACAAGGCGGCCGCCCACGTTGGCCTGAAACACGGAGCCTGCGCCGCACCCGGGCGGCACCGTCACCCGGAACTGCTGAGGTTGTGGCGGCGGCGCCGCGGCGGGAACTGTGATGCGAACGAGACGGTCTGGCCCGAGGTTGAGGGGGACCTGGACCTGCACCATCTGCCCGCCGACGTTGGCCTGGATCCGCTGGCCGGGCTGCACCCCCGGAGGGACACTGATCTGGTACTGCATGCCGGCGTCAAAGCCGAGCGTCCAAGCAAGCTGGATCGATCGTCGGGCAAAAAAAGAAACATGCGCCTAAGCTCAAAAAAGAATCATAAATCAACGAGAGAGAGAGAGAGAGAGAGAGAGAGAGAGAGAGAGAGAGAGAGAGAAAACCGCCAATGGCCGTTATCCGTTAGTGCGGACGTCGCCGCGGCTCGCCTCTGCCGCGGCGGCTGCTGCGCGCACGCGGCGGCGCCGCTCTCTCGCGAGACGGCTGGCGACGCGGCTCGCCGCCGACGTACGGTGCGCTCGTCCGACGGTCCGCGGCGTGGCGTGCGCGGCGCTGAGCGCCGCTCTGCGAGCGCCTCTGCGCCTGCACTGCCTGTCTCTGTTGCTGCTGGTGGTGGTGGTGCTGCTGCTGCTGGTGCCGATGCTGCTGCTGGCGCGGCGCGGCTGTGCGACTGGGCTCGACGCGCGCGTCGCGAGCGTCTGACGCGGCGGGCGGCGTCGGGCAGGTGCGCTTCTCTCTCGGGTGGTGGTGGTGGTGGTGCTGCTGCTGCTGCTGCTGGTGCAGGTGCTGCTGCTGGTGCGGCGCGGCTCTCCGACGCGACTCGATGCGCGCGTCGCGGCTATCTGACGCGGCGGGCGGCGTCGCGGGCGGCAGCGGTGGCGGCTCGCGGGTGGAGGTGGAGGCTGGTGGCTGTGGTGGACTTTGAGTTTATTTCATGGTCGAGTACGGGGACCGGGGGGTCAACCGGGAGGCAGGGGGTTCAACCAGGCGACGGAGGACCGTGGGCCATCGCGGGGACGGACCCGCCCGGAGGGCGCGTCCGGTAGATCCGGATGGTCTCACCCGGTGGAAGGCACCGAGGCGTCTGAGACGCTCCACTCTACCTTAGCTCCTGAGGGGCGCGTGGTTGTAACCACGTAGTATGACTACAGCCCACCACAGACACCCTCCCCCACTCCTCACGTGTGCTCACACCCTCACCCTCTCCTCTCTCCTCTCTCTCTCTCTCTCTCTCTCCTCTCTCCTCTTGTCTGTGCTGTCTGCCTGACTCAGGCACTCAATCTGCCGATGCGTGATTGTGTGTGGGCTGCTCCGAGGGGGCCCTCTGTGCGATCCGACGGGTAGGGGGGCTGTGCCCGGGCGGTGTCCGGTGTGGAGTCCCCTTCTGATCCCGCCTGGGATGTTGGGTGTGAGGTTGTGGCGGCTTCGATCCCAAGGGGGGGAGCTGATCCCACTCAATAACCAACTCTCAGGGGCAGTAGGTGGGCGAGCTTCAGGCACGCTCATCTCGATCGTCAAGACGTTGCTACGCGCGGTCTTCCGCGGGGGGAGCTGCGTCGACGGGTGCGGGACCGCGGCGCAGCCAGTGCCGCGGCGAGGCCTCCGGCTGTTTGCGGCGGGCGGGTTGCTGCTCGCTGCGATGGCGAAAAACTCGTCTCGCCACACGCCAAGGGCTTATGCTCTGGCGAGACGTGAGGCGCATGCGCCCAGGAGGGGAGGGGGCATGTGTAACGACACTGCTAGAGATGCCTTTCGGGGCCCAGAGATAAAACTTCTGTGATGCCATGCGTGACCTAGTAGTGTCCCCAGCTATGGGCGTGTCCACGTTGGAGCCAGGTGTGGTGTGGGCGCGAGAATAGCTCCGCCGTTCATGGAGGCAACCGATGCGAGTCGACTGGTGTGTGTCGTCGTGGTTTCGTATCAAGAAACAAGAATTCTCTCTCTCATAAATCAACCCAAACGAGCCCGCGCACGTGTGTGTTTCCGCCTGTTTGCGCCGCGCCCGCCGCGTGCCACAGATCCACGACATATGCAATCGATCTCTCGCATCCGCGTGGACGCGCGCCTGTCGTCGTCGCCGTCGGCCCAGCCGGACCCGCACAAGCCAAGACGGCCGAGGCGCCAAGCCCGTGGGAGCAAACGCCTTTCCAGACGCAATGCGACCGACTGGGACCTCGAGCCTGGCGGCTGGGACTGGGCAGCCGAGCAGCGACGGCCGGCGGTGGCGGAGCCCGACGAGACGGCGCCACTGGATAGGTGCGCCACGCCTCGCACGGTGGCGTCCTCGCCAACAGTGTCACTCCGGTAGTTGCCACGAGTCCGCAGCGATGCGGCCCCTCCCGCCTCAGCATCGCCTGCCCGGCTTGCTCACAGGATTGAGACGTGGCAGCGCCCCGCGACGTTTCAATGGTCCTTCTCGCTGTTCGGGAAGAATGAGGACCTGCGGACGATGACGCCGCCGCCAGGCTCGCTTCAGAGCTCATTCGACAAGGCGAGGGCCTCGCCCTGCCTGCCCTCACAGCTGCACCTCCACCGCAGCCTCGCTCTCCTGCTCTGACAGCCTCGCCTCCCTGCTCTGATCCCCTGCCCGTGCCCACTGCTCTGACCACCTGCCCTCACCACCGCTCCCCTCGCCGACCAAGGCGCGCTCCGCTCGGCACGCGGTCGTCCGACCAGCGCTCGAGGCGATGCGCCACACGCAGGGGGCAGTCAATCGGACGGTCGTCGTGATGCTCGTTAACACCGGCCAGTCGCACCTCCTCCTCAACTTTGGCTGCCGGTGCCCGCTCGCTAGATGCAACACGCGTCCGCGGCGGTCACCGCCGTGTACCGGCACAAAGACGCCATGCCGGCCGCAAAGGCGCTGCCGAGCGAGCGCCCGCATGGTGCCGTTCCTCGCTTGTGCGGTAGCCAAACCCGCATCCCCCGGCCACCGACTCGCATGCTCAGGTGTGAGGCGCGCGGAATCGATTGGAAGGCATTCACTTTTGTGTACGCGCTCGATTCGGAGGTGCACCGCATGCTGCTCTCCATTGGCGTCGCGTCCTACCACCCGGAGGAGGCGCAGCTTAGCCGCGCCGCTGGAAGGTTTGGCGACGCGCACTTCGGGCGCGTCGTATTTTGGAAGAATGCTGTGGTCCACGACGTCCTGCAGGTCACCCGTCTCATACTTGCCGCACTGCCTCGGCGCCCCACCGACGCTCCCTCTGCCTCGGCACCATGCAGTTGGGGTACAACCTACTCTTCCAGGACGTGGATCTCGTGTGGCGAGAGGACCCGCGGCGCTACTTCTTCCAGCCGCGCGCGGCGGCGGTCGACATGTGCTGGCAGTACGACGGCGGCAACCGGCACCAGCAGCCATTGTACGCCAACTCGGGCTTCATCTTTGTGCGCAACACGCGCCGCTCGAGGCTATTTTGGCGCGAGGCGTTCCTGCTTGGGCACACGCAGCGCTCGCAGCAGGGGATCACGCTCCCGCTGCTCGTCCACCACTACTTCAACTCGGGCCTCAAGCTCCACATCCTCGGCAAGCGGTGTGAGGCTCGGCTGCATCTCGGCTAGACTAGTCTCGGTTGAGCCTCAGCTGCCGTGCCTTCTTAAACGACCAGCGCTCTCTGCGCCCTAGTGCACTGCACCGCCGCCCCACTCCGGCCCACTGACGCGTCCACGCCACGCCCGCAGCTTCGCCAACGGGCCGCAGCTCGCCCTCACCCGCGCAAAGACTGCGAAGAACCTGCCGAGCGACTGGATCGTGGCGCACGCGAGCTGGACAGCAAACAGCACCGACAAGCGGCGTAAGCTGCAGAGCTTTGACGAGTGGGACGACGCGTGCGTGGATCGGCTGTGGCAACGAGCCGGGTCGCCGGTGGTCGGGTGGTGATCTCCTAGCTAAAGCGGGTTGCCACAGCGTCTGGGAGACTGCTGCCCGCAGCAGTCTGCTGGATAAGCGTGTCTTTGTCTCGCGCCTTGGCCCTTGCCTGTTTTGCTCGCGCCCTCGCCGCTCGCGGACGAGCGAGAGGGCGTGTGTGCGCGCTTGCTGTCTTAAAATGGCCCACTTATCCCGCGGCGGCCCGTGATGACAGCGGCCGCGAGGGTTTCTCTTCTCTGCCGGGTAGAAGGCCCGCCCCCGCGCCCCGCACCGCCCCCCCCCCCCACCCACACACACACGCACACACACACCGCTCACCCATGCACGCGCACTCGGCCTTGCACTTTTAATGCCGTGGGGCTCCTGTCGTTAGACGTGGAGACGCGAGGGTCGCCCCCCCTTGCCCCGGACCACCTCGTGTGTGTGGAGAAGTTTAGGCTGCCGGCGCCTCGGCGCCGGCCGACGCCGTGTTCGGCGGCAGGTTCGCGACGGGCGAGACGCCCCGCTCGACGACCTCCGCCTCCGAGGCGGACGAGGGCGACGGCGCCGGCGGCGATGGCGGGACTGGCTTCGACCTGTTCGGGCCGGACCCCACCCCCATGGAGGACCTTTGAGGCCCTCCCCAGTCTCACCCCACCTTACCTCTGCCCCCCCCTCCCCCCATCCCTCTGCCTCCCATAGGGCAGGATAGCACTAGCATATGCGCCTAGTGCGCACACTGGGCCCACATAGATGTGACCCGCCCACTCGAGTGCGGCGCCCGGATGCTAGTGCTTGAGAAGACACCACAAACGCGGCACGGCCCGTTTAGCGTTTTTGGATGTCTGCGGAGATTCTGTCTTAGCACACACAGTGAGTCATTCGGAGTCATTCGATGGCCAGAGTGCGATTGTGTGTGTGCGGGAGTTGGTTTGTCGGGAGGGAGGGGCAGGCCGCCGCTCACCCACGTGCACCGGGCCAAGGTAAGGTAAGGTAACACCGGGCCAGTGCTTGCACTTTGAATGCCGTGGGGCTCCTGCCCGTGTCCGGGCGTGGAGATGCGAGGGTCGCCCCCCCTTGCCCCACCACTTTGTGTGTGTGGAGAAATCTACCTTACCTTACCTACTTACCTTAAAGCCGTACCTTACCTTACCTTACGACAGCGACACGACGCGCTTGATGGCTCGGGAGCGCGATGGGTCGCTCTTCTGGCGCTGCCTGCTCTCCGCAAAGTCAAGGACGTACGCCTGGCCGCGAATCGTCACCTCCACTGCGGCATCGGCACTCTGCCACGCCGCCTCGATCGTCGCTTGCACGGGCTCCTCGTATGGCCGAAAGGAACCGCCGAGAAAGACCTGCCACGACGCGGCGGCGGCGGCGGCGGCGGCGGCGGCAGGCGCAGCGGGCGGTGCTTCGTGGCTCGCCTTTGCGCGCTTGGCCGGCGGGGCTGACGACGTGCTCGTCGCTTGCGGAGCCGCTTCTGGCCCGTCAATGGCCTTCCGCTGCTGCGCGGGCGCGAGGGCGCAAAAGTTGCCTTTCGCAAAGCTCGCTACCCACGGCTCTTGCTTGGAGCGTGCCGCTTCGAGCGAGGTGCCCGGCTTGCTGCACTCTTTGTAGAAGCGTCCCGAGTCGCGGCCGAGGTCGCCCAAGAGGAGCTTTACCACCACATCCGCGCCGAGCGCCGCCTCCTTGGGCTCACGTCTGCTGTAGTCTGCGTCGGCACCGGCGATGGCCGTGCGGCAAAAGCCCGGCGAGCAGGCGACGACGCGAAGGCGCGGGTTCTCGCGCGCCTCGAGCTGAGTGTAGTAGTTGAGCCCCGCCTTGCTCACGCCGTAGATGGGCGTGTCGTCCGGCTGGTGCGTCGGCGACGCGGCGGCCGCGGCTGCGAGGCGAGCGATGGCCTCTTGGAGGCGAGCCGCGTCCATCGCCTCCAGCCTCGCGCGAACCGAGGGGTCGAGCTGCCCCGTCACGAACGTGCCGGCGCCCGACGAGATGTTGACGATGAGCCCCCCATCTCGAATGAGCGGGCGGAACGCGGCGGTCACCGAGACGGCGCCTCGCAAGTTCACCCGCAAGGTGGGCTCAACGATGGACGCCAACGCCGTGCCCTTGCGTTCCAGAAGCACGCCGGCGTTGTTCACCAGCGCGTCCAGCTGGCTCCCTGTGGCCAGGACGCTCGCGGCGGCGGCGGCGACCGAGGCATCATCTGTAACGTCAAGCAGAAGCGGCACGGCGCCGCCACCGAGTTCCGCCGCGAGCGGCCCTAGAGAGAGAGACTGTGAGGCGAGTATTTGCAACCGGGAGCTCGCCGCCGCCCCTACACCGCCGCCGCCGCCCTCCCGATGCGTCGAGAGTCGACTCTCGACTGCGGAGAGAGTTCATCCCACCATCAGCACCGTATTCGCCCACAGCATGCCATGAGATTCATATCAGCGAGACCAATATCTCCAGCCTCCTTCATCTTGGCTGCTGCTTGGGAGCCAACACCTATGTGCAAGTGAGTGTCAGAGTGTCGGAACTCGGTGGGAGCATCCGTCATCACGTTCACACGACTCTTCACACTCGCTCGAAAAGGTGAAATTTCGTTTCACATGAAATGTGAAGTGAAAGTGAAAGTGAAACCGATTCGCTGTTTCCATGTGAAATCACGAACCCTGGCCCCCACCGTGTCTAGCACCGTGTAAACGGGCAACCCCTGGGAGCCACACCAAGTTAAACATAGCATGTAAAAGCTTTCCGCGAGCTCTCTCCACTCTCGAGCCCGAGGTGTCGCCACTGAGCCTCGCACGCCGCAGCCGGTCTGCGGTAACAACCAGGTCCTTCTTGTTAGGCGGACACGTCTGAGCCCATGGACCTGAGCGGATGAGGGGCTCGTGCGCACAGCGCTTGGCGCGCTGGCGCCTCCCTCGACTTGGCGCACAATGACATCTATGCTTACGGCGCGCACACGGCGCACGCGCACCCCTCCTGAGCGGGTGAGACTGAGCGGGTGAGACTGTGCTGCTCTGAGGCAGCATCTCCCTCTGCATGCTGGGTTTGCCTGTGTCTCTCCCCGGCGCACGTGCCCCTCCCCGCTTGTCCGGCGAGCCGAGCGACAGCCGAGGCGGGCGGCTGGTCGGCGTGGTCTGCCACAGGCATGTGGCAGAAGACTGTACGGAGCTCGTATGTGCCGCGCCGAACCAAGCGCCGCGACGGCGTCATGTGTTCTCTGCATGCCACGGCTTTACGGCTCTCGAGAATGTCGTACGTTATACGTGAACGTGTGGACTGCGGTACGTGTGTTCTGTGTGTATGTGACTGTGTGTCGCATCGCCCATCGCGCATCGCGGGTACACATCGCCACAGAGCACTGTGCACAGTGCACCAATGAGCACTGTGACGTGTGAGCTGACCTTCCATGGTAGGTGGGTTTGCTCAGGACAGGAAGTTGAAAACAAATTTCTGAGTCGTACTACGAGTACGACATTAGTTCATAGAGGTACACACACATCGTCATCGAGCACGTGTCACGATTAGTTAGAGAGAGCCGTCGACGCTCGACTCACAGCCGATGAACGACACGCCTGAAGAAATGCGCGTGCGCGATCGCGAGCAACATCGTACACACTAGCAACTGAACTACAGCTGAGCAGCAATGCCATTGGACTAGGGGGAGTCGGGCAGAGAGACGCCCGCACTCGATCTAGGGCGCGACGCCACATGGGCATCACCGGGCAAAGGAGAGGAATCGAGGGAACCAGCCAACCCTCGCCGACGTGCCGCGGAGCAGCGCGGCCACGTCGGGATTGCGGTTGTGCAGCTCCGCGATACGCCCCGGCGTGGGGCCGGACTCCACCGCCGCGCACTGGTGGGCTGGAGCCTGCCCGAGCAAAAGGGTGCGAGGTGAGGGCACGGTGCCGAAGGGCGACGCGGCAAGGGAGGGGCCCGCACCGCTTGCGCCACGTGCAGCGCCTCAGGGTACGCCTCCAACACCGCGCGGACGACCGGAAGGGACACGTTGTAGGCGGCCTTGTGCAGCGCCATCTCGCCCGCCTGGGCGCGTAACCCGTGTGGTGGCGTGCGGCGCGCGGCAAAGTGGGGGTGGTGGGAGCGCACCTGGTTGACTTCGTGGACGCCGTCTGGATAGGCGTCGACGAGCGCGCGTATGATATAGGGGGACGACGTGCACCCCGCGGCCACGTGGAGCGGGAGCTCCCCGGCCTGAAAGGGGTGAGGGTGCGAGATATAGCGTCACGGTCTGCACCAGCCAGCGGGCCGAGCCCCGCGGACGAACGCACCACGGTCTGCCAGCTAGCAGCCGTGGGGTGCATCTCGACGAGCCGGCGAATCACCGCCTCGGAGTCGGTCGCACCGACGGCGGCGTGGAGGGGCAGCCTCCCGCCCTGCGCACACAACAGAGGCGCGAGGAGGGGGGTGGAGGTGGGCGGATAAGTGCTGGGGAGGGTCAGATTGGAAGGGCATCACCGGGTTCGTCTCTCGCACGCGCTCGGGCGTGATGAGCTCGAGCAGGCGCTCGTCGGGAAGGCGGTAGGTGCTGCTCTGCAGCAGCGAGGGCCCCAGCCCTCGGTTGAGCGAGTCAGCCACGTGGGGCTCGCTCCTAGACCACGGCCAGCTGACTGGCTCGCGGCAGATGGGGCACTTGAGATCCAGGTGCTCCAGCCGCATAGCGTCGCCACCGTGCTCCACCGCATCGCGGAGAGCACAATCTAAGCAGATGTCGTGGAAGCAGGGCGATCGGAAGACAAACTCAACGGTCGGCACGCCCGCGGCAATCTCCTCGGCCGTCGCCGGCCGCACCGCCTCCACGTAGCAGATGGAGCACCAGTGCTTGTTGAGAAATCCCGCGCGCTCCTGCGCTCTCGCCGGCACGCCCTCGCAGTCCGCCAGCACCTGGACCAGCGCGTCGAGCGCGTCCAATTCCAAGCGCTCGCGGCTCAGAAAGGGCGCGGCGTCCCAACGGCGCAGAGGGTCTGCACTCTCGGCGTGCGGGCGAGCGGCCAGCGCGCCGAGGGCCCTGGCGCGAGCGCGCAGCGAAGACCGCCACTCCGTGCCGACCGGACGCGAGCGGAGAGGGGGGGGTAGTACAGCCTCGCTGCCGCCGCCGCTGTCGCGCGCAGCTTCGAGCGCCTCCTCGAATGCCTCCTCTAGCGCAGACTCTACTGCGGCGGGGTTGTCCTCGAGGATGCGCCAGCAAGCGTCGGCGTCTGGTCCGCCGAGCACGAGCCCTACGCGCCGCGCGAGGCTTCCCGCAAAGTCGCGGATGTGGGTGGCGCTGAGGTCGGTGAGGGATGCGAGCGACGATGGGAGCGGTAGCTCCGGTGTTGCGGACCGCGGCACGGGCGAAGCGCGCGAGGTGCGGACCGCCGTGCTAGGGGCGCCGGGCGGGCGCTTCATGGGATGGGTCGTAGGACTTCCGGAGCGCCCGCCGATCTGCACGCAGAGCAGATGCACGCAGAGCAGCCGGCGCCCCGAGGCCGCATTTCTTTGTGGGGACGCGATGGGTGCCTGGGCACTCCCAGCGGATCTCACCTAAAGTAGCCCCTCTTCGGTGCCTTGTGTCCCGCGGCCCACACGCCTCCCGACTGCTTGCGGCACCGTCGCCGCCGCACTTTTCTGATCAACTACCTCACCCTCCCTTGCGCAGGCCGGTCGGAGGCCGTCTGAGACCTCTGTGCGGACCGCGCGCAGCCCTGTGGCCTCTGCGCGCTGTCGAGAGCAGCCTGGCAGGCATGGCCGACGAGACAGCGGCTGATCAGGCGCGCCTCACCCGCTCACAACCCACCACCAGGTTCTGCCGGCTTCCAGATCACGGCACCCGAGGAAGATGGTGTTCTGGCCGGCGCGCGAAAGTGTCTCCACCACAGTACGGCCTATACCGCGCGTCGAGCCCGTGACAACAACCCTCATCCACTGCGGGACGCGGCCACGAAAGGTGTGTAGACCCCAGTTCCAGCGGACGCAGCGAGCGTCGGGACTCCGTCCCAGCAGACGAAGTCTTCCTCGTGGGCTCCACGGCCCGGATCGCGAGCTCGATCGATACGCGACGCGCTCGGCCTCCGCTGGCGGCTGCCGCAAGAGCGGCTGGCTCACGGCAGCGTCTCGCCGGTTGCCGGATAGGAGAGTACAGAACGTCTGGAGTGTAACTGTGTACGTGAGATCGGTTTTGATAACAAGCACGGTCGATCCGTCAAAGCGATACACTCGTTCCTATCTCGCTGGAGGGCTGGCACGGAGCTCTGTGCCGACAAACAGGAAGAGCCGAGCGGCAAGAAGGGCTCGATGGGGAGTGAGAAGCGTCAGAAGAGCTTTAGGTGTAACCTGAAGTCCGTCGTGACGCTCTTGTTTCCCCCCAGGTTTGACCGCGCAGCTTCCAAAACTCGACAATATCTTTCGGAAAGACTGAACATCCCGCAGTGCGGCAGCATGAGAGGCGCAGAGAGGCTGCGAGTGCTCGACGAGTCTTGCGAGCTGCGCGTTCAAACCTGGGGGGAACCGACCGCATCAGGGTGGACTTCCGAAACCTCCGTGAGCACGTTTGACGGTTCTCACTCCCCATCGAGCTCTTCTTGCCGCACGGCTCTTCCTGTGTGCGCCGGCACAGAGCTCCGTGCCAGCCCTCCAGCGAGATAGGAACGAGTGTATCGCTTTGACGGATCGACCGTGCTTGTTATCAAAACCGATCTCACGTACACAGTTACACTCCAGACGTTCTGTACTCTCCTATCCGGCAACCGGCGAGACGCTGCCGTGAGCCAGCCGCTCTTGCGGCAGCCGCCAGCGGAGGCCGAGCGCGTCGCGTGAGTTGAAATCGATGTGGCGAGTCGACCGCCAGTCCGCACGATGGCACTGCGACCGCGGCGGCTGCCGGCGAGGGCAGCAGCGGCGCGCGCGAGGCGGCAGCGTAATCGGGTCCGAAGTCCGGACCCGATTTGGGGTCTACACGCCTTCTCCCCGAGTGGCACGCGGCAGAAAAATGTCGTCGAGAGACTCTCCAATGTCAGCGACCCTAAAAGGCCGCAGAGATGCGCCTGTCAGGCGATACAGCAGCGACTTGTCGCTTTCGGGTTCGAGCCTCTGCCGATGACGGAGGGGCATATCTTCTGCATCGGGCGAGAGTACAACGGCCCTCACGCCGAGGTGCTACGCCGGAGCAACAAGAATGTGCCCGTCCCGACAGCGAGGGACATGCGTGTGGCATGGGACAAGGCGCTCGGAAGCCTTCCCACGAGTGTACGTGAAGCCGGGGGAGAGCGCGAGTGGAAACGGATACTTGCTGAGACTCTTGAGGAGACGGATGAGACGTGTATGCCATGTGAAGACGCGATCACATCGAACCAGGTTGCTCAGGTGAGGAGTGTCCTGCGAGGAAGCGTGATAGGGTGGCTCGACAAGAATGTCGGAGAGTGTTTTGTTACGTGCCCCGTCACGTACGAGAAGACGCTAGACACGCTCTTCGACACTTCAAACGGCAATTATACGCGCGTGTACCCTCTTAAGGACACGGCATATAAAAGGAAGAAGCATGGAGCTGAGGAACTGCTCAAGAATATGACGACAGAGGATCGGTCGCGGGTACGGGCGAACCAGCTGAGTACGGACGGAACGCTCGACGCGACACTAATCTCAGCATGGCGATGGT